ATCATGCCTTCATCTTCTTTATAATCAACAATAATGAAGCATTTATCCATGTTAGATTTCAGATCGATTGATCATCATTGACGATGAAACCTGGATCGATTGTGGATATTGATCCGGAGGCAGTAAGAAGACTTCAAGGAAAACCATGAACGAGAATGTGACATCATCTGGAGGCGAAACAAAGACAGGAGGAAGGAAAGAGAAAGATCTATGAACATTATGTTCTCTCTCGATCTCTCGTTGATGATTTCACCGACGGAGGAAGAAGGCGGAGCGATGAAGACTTGTGTGTGTCACTGTGTGTGAGTGATAAAGGGATAGAGAGAGAAAATAGAGTCGGTAACTAAGACCATCTCCAACCCATCTCCATTTTCCCCTATAAATGGAGTAAAAATGGAGTAAATAGTGTTTCATCTCCAACCCTACTCCATTTTCTACCCCATTTTTTACCCCAAAAAGTATATTCATAGAATATTCTATTTTTATAACTTATATATAGTGTCAAATACACCCCTCTACTAATTAAACTCTATATTTATGAATAATTAATATAAATTAGTATATAACATGATATTATAAATATTAAATATTCCATTTAAATTATAATTAGTAGATAAAAGAAACTAGAAATGTATAAAATAAAAATGAGAGGGATTAAAATTGGTAACCAAACTTCACCTCCATTTTTGGAGATATGAATAGTATTCCCCCATATATAGGGGAATACTATTCATATCTCCAAAAATGGAGGTGAAAATGGGGTAGGATTGGAGAAGAATGGGGGAAGAAATGGAGTTTGGGGATGGGTTGGAGATGCCCTAATAAAGAGAGAACTTGATTTTGTTAAATTAATTATTAGGAAATAATATATTTTATCCCTAATATACCCATTTGGTCATTTTTTAAAAGTCTAAGATACCATTAAAAGTGTTCATAATTACAAGTATGCCATCTTTGATCTAAACCATTAAAATTTTTGATTTAACGTCCCACCTTTAGTTCTCAGGTTCTCGGGAAACTTCTAGTTCCACACATCGAGAATATGAATAAGCCAAGTTCTTTTTATATACCAATAATATACATATATAAAATATTTCATAAGTTGCAACTTATGTTTGTTTATATCAATCACAGTGGATGCTAATATTTCATACGATTGCAACTTATGTTTGTTTATATCAATCACAATGGATACTAAAAACTAATTACTGATTAATATTAAACTAGTAACCAATTCTTTAAAAGGGAAGGCTTGTGAGGCTTCAAGAGAGAAAGACCTTAGAGTTTTGACAAAACTACAAATTTAGGGAAATTTAGTCCCGATGGTATGTTAAAAATTAGGACTTTGGTCCAAAAAGTTTTGGAGTTGTACCAATGGTCCAAAATAAAAACTATATTGCAGGTTTGGTCCAAAACTGTTTGAAAATATTTCAAATGACGGATTTATCCTTTTAATTTTGTTTTTTCATTTTCTTTTATTTCCAACAATTAAAGAAAATTCTAAATTAAAATACCCTCTCTCTCTCTACACCAAAAAAAACCAGAAATCTCTCTCTCTCTCTCTCTCTCTCTCTCTCTTTCTCTTTCTCTTTCTCTTTCTCT